GACTGTTGTCATCACTGCAGCTGGGCTGCATGCGTCGCCGGCGATGGCGTCGGTTGCGTCAATGCTGGTTTCTGACGCTTTTCCGTTAACTGACACCCCCACAATGTCACATTCCCATACACCTTCTGCCATTATATCTCAAATGCGTCCTTCCACACCAACACTCTCTTCCTCCACTCCCACTGCATCTTTCTCAGCTAGTCGATGTTATACACCTGTCACTCCTTTCACCAATCCCCTCCACATTTCCATTTTAGAAAACAACTACCACTCCTTCACACGCCAGCTCCAACTAAACACGGCAATAGATGACAACTCCAATCCCCTGCAGGCTACACCTCTTCACGTCGCTTGCAAGCACGGAAACCTCAAAATAATTAACTCTCTTTTGGAACACGGTGCCTCGCCGACCATCAAAGACTACCAAGGCTACTCTCCCTTCCACCTTACTGTAACCTCCGGAAACACACTCGCTGCACTACTATTCCTCCCGTACTTACCCTCCCTAGACGATACGGATGCCGAGAGCCACACTGCCCTAATGTGGGCTGCCTACACACGAAACTCCACACTCCTAGCAACACTTCTTAAATACGGCGCAAACCCATATCCCACAGACGACAGTGGTTTAACAACACTCCATTGGGCACTCGTTGGAGGAAACGCTGACTGCATACACTTGCTATTAACACATGCACCTTCTTTAGCGCAAAACCTAGTACTTGGTCTTGCTCCAAGCATTCAAACCCTGACTCTGCAACCGCATTCCCTCTACGCTTTCAAAAACGCTTCTCGCGGTACACCGTTTTATGTTACGCACTCCAACGACTTAAACCCATCTCTCATCAACGTTCATCGATACACTACCTTTTACTACACTCTGTCCACATACGTTGGACGAGCTATTGAGCTTCTTCTAAGTCCCCTTTTATGTACAACGACCATATTATACTTCGCATACTGCCCACTCATACTTGCTATAATACTGGCTCCAATTACGATTTACTTTATATACACCCCGCTCACACACTTTCTATTGCAGCACAGTTACAAAACAGCTATAACCTTAGAAACTCCATTCTTTGCTTCTTTTTGTTCCTATCTTCTGTTATTTGCACTCACTTTTCTTTTCTTAATACTTTTACCAAAAACATTTACACAAAATAAACTGCTCGGATCTCTTACGACAGCATTCCTTCTTTTTGCAACAATAAGCTACATTCGAACTTGTTTACAAAGCAAAACTCAACTGCCTCTACCTGAACGAACAGCACTTAAAAACTCTATAAATGAGTCATTAGACAGAAACTGTTTCGACACTACCAACTTTTGCGTTTCGTGTAACACTACAAAGTTTCCAAGAACACACCATTGCCGGATTTGTAATGTCTGCGTTGAAGTTTTCGACCACCACTGCCCTTGGTCTAATTCCTGTATCGGAAAACGGAACCACAGAACTTTCTTCCTTTTTATTTTTTCTCTCTCTATCGCTATCCCTTTGTTTATAACGCTTTCACTCCGTTACGTCAATCTAATACCAACAAACGAGAAGTACGACAACACCCACTGCTTTATTAACCTTTGGAACCTTTGTGACTACTCGAAGAAGAACGGAGTACTTGTGGCCTTTGATGCCATTGTGATAATAAACTGGTTATGGGTTCTGGTGCTTCTTTTTAACCAGATATGGAGTATATCTTTTGGAAAAACTACTTTTGAGTTACGAAAACAACGTTTACAATATTCCTCCAGAATGTCACAGGCACACTCGACCGACCGCTCTCGATTACGCGAATTGGCAAACCAATGCGTTTCGCTAGTAGGACTTGATCAACTCCAGAATATCCGTACAACATTCGTTAATGCAACAACAAAACAAACGACTTCACTACTGTCTTTTTCTGCGATAAAAAAGAATTGGACTGATTTTTTGACAGGACGGTGATAAATAAAAGTAATTAATAATAAAACCTTACCACAGTATAATTTTTTTCCTTTTTTTCCTTTTTTTTAACATTTATCTCTGCAATTTTAAGGATTTATATTTTGCCTTTCAGCGGTAGCTACAACTCCGTATAATTAAACTCCACCAAACTGCATAGTAGCGTAGATGCATGTGCAGTTCCACTCTACCGACGAAAAATAGGTTCTACGACATATAAATTATATACTACCTTTTCTATAAGTTTCTTTCATTGTTAATATACGGAGTTACTCATAAATTCCGCACTTGTCTCCATTGCAAATACTTTCTTAATATGAGGTCCTTACAAGATATTCAAGTGAAAGATGAACTTTTCGCAACTCTAAGCGTAATGATGTTTTAAAAGAGCGTCAATTTACGGCAGCAAAAAAAAAACGCTTCATGCGATCAAATTCAAAAATGTACGCATAA